TCGCATTTTACACTGACTGGGTTTACAGTTGGTTTCCTAACAAGCTGGGTGACCTGGTCTGGTTGCAGAAACTGGAGGAGTCTTTGCTTCCCCCAGATGTCAGCACTGGAGAAAGACATCTGACGCTTCAAGGTGATCCACAGGCATCTGGAGCAACACCTGTACCCATCACCACTCGAATATTCCAGATTATCACCAGCAACCTGGCTGAGCAGCCATCGGGTAGGGAATGCCTACACCAGTTAGAATTATCACCTCGGTAGAAAACGCTCGACACTCCTGAGCTTGATCCGTCTCTCTGTCCCAGGTGTCAGCTCTGAGGTCGGTGGTGAGGAGACCAAGGCCCCGAGGGAGCAGCCGTCCACCAGCCTGATGGACCGTGACCAGCCACCAGTCAAGCACACAGGTCTCACAGAGAGGGTAGGAGAGAATCAAAGCAGCGTAACACTTTCAGGTCCACGTTGAGCTACGGAGAAGGTCGTTGTTTTCTGTTTTCACAAAGAGAATACATTAAAGGCACAGGTGGCATCACCATCCTTTTTATGGATGTCCTTTGAAAGCAGTGCACAAGACATTATCACAAAGAAATTTATTTTGTCAACTTGTTTAACCAAAATACACTGCCTGGCCCAAAAAGTCACCACCTGGATCTAAGCAAGCAAATAGGTTATTGAAACATAAACGACTTCTTTAACCTCAACTGGTGCAATGAGCAGCTTCTCATTTCTTAAACAACCACGTGGAAAGACACATCTGGTGGTCGTGGGAAAGATGTTGGTCTGTTAGAGAAGGGTCAGATCATCAGCATCAAGCAGAGAAAACATCTAAGGAGATGCAGAAACGACTAAAACTGGGTTAAGAACTGTCCAACGCTTTATTAAAAACTGGTCTGATGAGTCCAGATGGACCCTGTTCCAGAGTGATGGTGCATCAGGGTAAGAAGAGAGGCAGATGAAGTGATGCACCCATCATGCCTAGTGTCTACTGTACAAGCCTGTGGGGGCAGTGCTATGATCTGGGCTTTCTGCAGTTGGTCAGGTCTAGGTTCAGCAACAGGATGTGCTCCAAGAATGAGGTCAGCTGACTACCTGAATATCCTGAATGACCAGGTTATTCCAGCTTCCCTGATGGCACGGGCGTATTCCAGGATGACGATGCCAGGACTCATCAGGCTCAGATAGTGAAGGAGTGGTTCAGGGAGCATGAGACATCATTTTCACACATGGCTGGGCCACCACAGAGTCCAGACCTTAACCCCATAGAGAATCTTTGGGATGTGCTGGAGAAGGCTTTGTGCAGCGGTCAGACTCTACCGTCATCAGTGCAAGAGCTTGGTGACACATTACTGCAACACTGGATGGAAATAAATATTGGGACGTGTGTGAAGCTTATTGAAACAATGCAACAGCGAATGTGTGCTTTAATCAAAGCTAAAGGCAGTTCAATGAAATATTAGAGTGTGACCTTGTTTGGGGCCAGGCAGTGTAACATGCATGTGTTGAGTTACTAGTTGTAATACTGATCATCTTTGCTTTTTCTTACTAAAAAATCTGTCACTGCTCGGAAAACTGATGTTTCATGTGACTTGTTCTTCCACCTTTTCTCAAGCCTTCATATAAAAAAGTGTGAATGATTTTTAAAGAGGGCAATGCACACACAAGATGAAAAACCACAGCAAACAGCACAGCAACTCGCTCCTGTAAGGAAAGCCTTTAAGTACAAACAAATAGTTTATCTGTTTGCACTATTATTTGTTTTATTTAATTAACTCACTTCTACAAATGCTTGTTTTACATGTTTTGTGCGGGGCAGATGTGATAAAAGCATCATTTGTTCATGCTACATCTGGACACATATGGGGGTGTTTGTAAGTATAAATAAGGGGAAGGAGAGACCGCTTCATGAAGGGTTTCCTTGTGGTCTGCTCCAGGAGACTCAGACCCCCTGTGCTCACGACAACCGGCGTCTCCCTTCTTTGCTTCCTATGCTTGCTACTCCGTGTGGCTGTGCTGTTTATGGGGAAAACCGTGAAGGTCACCAGCCGTCTCCCTCAGGACTGTTGAAGAAAACTCTTGTTTTTTGTACAAAGCACAAAGCAGCTACACAGCCCTCTTTATTCTTCATTAATCCAAAATGTTCACAGTTTGCACTCTTGTAAGTTACTTTCAGATCATGACCATTCATATACAACACCATGAGTTTTATGGTATTTAAAGTTATGGTCGTAGTTTAAGTTTAAAATAAACTAATTAAAATATAATATTTTCTGCCTAAAACAGTATAATTGCATTTCAGGCGTCAGAAGACGACCACTGGCAGCTCTACAACATGGCGGAACACCTTCAGGCCTGTCTTCTGTTATGGAGACAAAACATCAACATTGCATTTTTCTGGTGCAGATAGCCTTTAATTTCTTTAATTGTTTTACGGTCCTCTCTAACCCCGTTCTGTTTGTAGCTTTGTGATTCTGCTAGCTAAATCCAGTTAATTCAGCGAGCAGTTTAACTGGAACCAAGCCAGAACTGGTCCAAATGAACTGCCTTCCCCTCAGAAAGCATGTTTAAAGAGCAAGTCACCCCCAAATCAACTTTTTTTGCTGATAAACTATGTAAACAAGTGTCTAATCGTGCTGCAGACATGTGTTGTCAATAATTTGGCACTTCAGTGCATCTTAGTTCAAATTTAAAGAGCAAGTCACCCCCAAATCAACAATTTTCTTCTGATAAACTATATAAATGCGTGTCTAATCGTGCTGCAGACACGTGTCGTCAATAGTTTTGCACTTTAGTGCATTTTAGTTATAATTTAAATTTTCTGCCTGAAACTGTCAGTGTTGTGCCGTTGTCAGGTAAAAACTCTGCACTGCATTTGAATTTAAATCTACCACCGCTATAGGCTAAGAGGTATGCTATGATGTAAACTGGTACATTATGATGTCACAATGTCGTGAGTGTGTGTATTTGTTAGTGGCTCCACCCTCTCGGTCTGCTAGGCAACAGCATTTGTTGCATTTTTCAAAGATGAAGTGGGAGTGGAGTACACTTCTTGTAAGGGGTGACTTGCTCTTTAAATATTCTGCCTAAAACTGGCAGCGTTGCACCGTCGTCAAGTAAAAACTCTGCACTGTATTTTCATTTAAATCTGCCACCGCTATTGGCTAAAAGGTATGCTATGATGTAAACTGGTACATTATGATGTCACAATGCTGTTGTGAGCCTGAGTGTGTGTGTGTGTATTTGTTAGCAGCTCCGCCCTCTCGGTCTGCCAAGCAACAGCATTTGTTGCATTTTTCAAACATGAAGTGGGGGTGGAGTTAGACTCTGGTAGGGAGTGACTTGCTCTTTAAAGGCCTTTCTGAAGGCTGACATTGTGATGGAAGTTTTCTTCTCGTGTCGCCTCAGTTTAAAGAAAAACAACAAACGTACCGATTAAGTGGATGCCTCTGAGTTTTGTTTTGCAATCCTGGACAGGGGCTGTTTGTTTTACGTGCTTCAGACCTGGCCATGTGCTTCTGCACACACGCATTAGTAGTTCAACGCATCCACGTAGATTGTTTTCATCCACCACTAGTGCAGCAGCTGTTCCCATGCATGACCAAAAAGTTCACTATGTGGTAACACGCTCGCAGCAGTGGCTCCTCCTCCCCTCCGCTCTGCCCGCTTGTTACCCCACGCTCTGTAATTACAGTCAGTGATGATACATAAACAGCTTTCACAATCAGCTGGGGCTCTTTCACAGAGTCAGCACTCGGGGGATAATGTGAGAGGAAGAGGGAACAAGTTTGTTGTTCAAGTAGGATCGTGAGTTTTTGGGCTGCTTGGGGGCGATGGACATCCGCTCCAGCTGTGTTTAGGAATCTGACAGATAGTGCACTCCATTAATTCCCTTTATTAAACCTCTGGGCCCAGGCCAAGCCAGAGAAAACGATTGCAGCTGTAACCCTTAGCATGCTGAGTGGATGTTGCACTCGCAAGCAGACGTCACTCTGGAAGAGTCGGGACAAGAAGAAGGGACTGGTGTTGCCGAGTTTGCATGAAATGATCAATGAACTGAAAAATGTAAACACTGGTGTTCTGTAACAGGAAAGTTGCGAGGGAAAGTACCTTTTTGGTTTGTTTTCATTAAATCTGTTTAATGTTTAGAGGTCACATTAATTTCTTTACAATATATGTACTGTGCTCTCCAGTATGAATGGATGCCTTGTGAGTAGTCTTCTGTGTAAAAAAGTCTGGCGCTCCTGTTTCAGGAAGTAGAAGTTAGTCAAAAGAGAGGGTGGACAGCAAGTCTTACTCGTAAATATTCATGATATACAAACATCTCACACAGTGACTCCTCTGCTGCCTTCGTTTCCTCTTCTTCCTTGGGTAAAACATGCAATGTCGATGTTTTATCTCCACGAACAACAGCAACCTGAACATGTACCACCATGTTGCAGAGTTGCTAATGCTAATGGTTAGCGTCTAATAGTCAAGAAGTGCTCTGCCCTCTCCTGGCTGCAAAATCAGCACAGAATTCTGTGGATGCAAGCCAAAGTGGTTGAATCTATAAATGCTAATTTTCCACTGTGACGTAGAAGAGACTGGTTTTATTTGACACAATTGTTTTCCCATCTTGTGCACCGCACCGTCAGAGACAGAGCTTTTTCCGTGGCTGCCCTTACCCTATGAAACTCTGTCCCTCAACACATCCATGCTGCTGACAAAAGACCCACCTATTCAACCAAGCATTCACATCACATTAATCTATTCTCATTTCATTTATTTGTCTGTTTGTTTGTTAAAAACTTATCAATTATAATAATAATAATAATAATAAATAATAACAATAATAATAAAAATAATAATTATTATTACTATTAATAATAATAAATAATAATGATAATAATAATAATAACTATTATTATGAATAATAATAAATAATAATAATATACTTATTATTAATAAAAAATAATAATAGTTATTATTAGTATTATATTATTATTAATAATAAAGATTATAATAATAATAAATAACAATTATTATTATTTATTATTATTAAAAATAACGATGATAATAATAATATAATAATAATAATAAATAACAATAATAATACTTATTATTATTATTAAAATTATTATTATTATTAATTATAATAAATAATAATAATAATAATAATAATTTATATTATTATTTTTACTATTATTATTAATAATAATAATAAATAATAACTAATAATAATAATAATAATAATAATGATAATAATAACAATAACTATTATTATTAGTGTCATTATTATTAATAAATAATAGTAATTATTATTATTATTATTATTAATAATAATAATAATTATTATTATATTATTAATAACCATAATAATAATAACAACAACAATAAATAGTAATAATAATAATTATTATTATTATTAAATGTATTATTATTATT